AGTCTGGCACAGGGGAGAGAGAGAGAGAGAGAGAGAGAGAGAGAGAGAGAGAGAGAGAGAGAGAGAGAGAGAGAGAGAGAGAGAGAGAGACAGAGACAGAGACAGAGAGACCCCTGCCTGAGCTGTGTGTACAGGTGGGCAGGCTTATCTTCAGTCTTCCTGGTCCCAGGCGTTTGCCTGAGGCACATGGATACTAGAGGTTAGCTTCCAACGTCTTTTCTCTCCTGAATTACCTTGTAAACTCCAGGTGTCTAGGGAGAATAACCACATGCCTTAGGGTTCACCTAAAATCCCACCTGCTGTTGACCCCGAATCGTGGGTGCATGAAGTCCTGGTAGGATCTCCACGAACTGCAGAGTTCCTTTTTTTCTTTTTCTGTGAATGATGACATACTAATTGCCGTAAATCGTCCATTGTCCCTCACAAATATTGCTCACTCCACGCTTCCTTCCATTATCACCGAAGTACCCTGAGTTTGCAGCATTGATTGCTTCCTAAGAAGGAAGGATTACCTGTCCTGCACCCTGTTGTTTCTGCTTGGCTGCCACTTTTTATATTCCTATGTTGCCCCTCTCAGCCCTACTGGGCTGCCTGGTATATTCTCTTCAGATTTTAGAGCTGTTGTAGGGGCCCATTTGACTTGTTTTCCACCCTAGTTATATTATGGGTCCACCCGTCCTTCCGTCTAGTTCTCGCTACCTCCTCGGACTCCCTCTCTTTATCTGGGCCCCTTGTCCACCAAAGGAACCCCCCATGTTATCATTGTTGATTCTTGCGATTTTTCCATCCTCAAATAGGTGTTGACAAATGGTGATAGTATATCGCCCCCCGCTTCAGTGGGTTGTGTTCCATGTGTTCGAGCAGAAAGTTTCATCCCCTCCCATGCCTCTGCTGTAGACATAGGTTTGGTTTCTATAGTCTATTGGCATCGTCTCTTCCATATTGTCCACATTGTAGTGTCCTTATTCCCCCCCCCCCTCCCCTTTTCTCTTTCTTTCCTTTCTTTCTCTCCCTTTGTTTTTTGTATTTAAGGGCGACGGCCTTGAGATATGGTCATCGAACTGACCGGCCCTAGGTAATTCAGAGCTGTAGGAATTTACTCATCTGCTTCCGGTGGAGTTCGAACTGAGGTCTGTATTTCAACAGTTCAAGGGTGTAGCAACTGAGCTACGCCAGTTGGTGCCATATTGTAGTGTCCGTTTGTTTCTTTTTTTTTTTTTGGACCATTTTTCGATTTATGCGTGTCATCCTTGCACAGGGGCCATGCTAATCTTCCTTCTCTGTATCGTTCCAATTTTAACGGATGTCCCGAAGGACAATGTGTCCTGTTATTTGGAAACAGCGCTTTTGCTTATTTACAAAGTGTGTGTTTCGCTCCCTCTGGCTGTGCCATATTTCAGAGTACTGCCTGAAAGACAGCCCTCCGAGATTATTCCAGGGGTTTTACAAGCACGTGATTGGCTGCACTGGTAGCAGAAATTCATGAGACGTTCAGAACGGTCTGCGTATGTGACATCAGACTGGGTGCAATCGCAGCAAGCAGAGAGTAATCTGTGTCAGGTCAGCAGTTGCGAAATGCGAAATTAGACTGATGAACTGATAAGCCCATTAGTGACCACTGCATCCTGACCTATTTTGACAAACCAGAAGTTTGCATTTCTCCAAGCCTAAGATGGTACGATCTACAGTGCCGCCCTGTCGAAAAGTAATTTTGGCACCGTAGATTTTGGTCCAGTACTTGTAGACAAGAAAAATGAACAGTGCAGGAGCCCTTGGAGTGGTGGTTTAAGATCTCAGCAAAGCACAACATTCTGTCGACAACTACGCTACGTGTACACCCCTGAGTAACAAACGACAATCCTGAATAATAAACGACCTTGCGACACAAGTACAATGCGGCCCACAGTTTTGCATCCATGCAGGTATTGTAAGTCATAACATATTTGACTAGTATTTGAATTCCACGTCGGCAAACTCGAATACAGCACGTCCGGTAATGCAACCAACACACCTTTTGAAGTATCTGACCAGTACGCGAACAGTGTTTCGTCCACTCTGTATGTCTCTGAATGATGTAAGGCCTTCTGACTCAGATACGACACGGCCTGTAGTTTGCGTTATGCAAGCTCTGTATTCGAATACAACACACCCCATTTAGTATTCAAATGCGGAATAGCCAAACTAGAGTGCAACACGTCTGGTGTATGGTTTGTGCCATGCTGCCTTGAATGCAAAACACACCCTTTGGAGCGTGTTTGATTAGTGCACGGGGTCTTGTGTCCCAACAGTAGAGGCGCTGAGATGTCCCGATCGATGTACGGGCCTGATTGTGAAAGTCAACAGACGTGGCATGACTTGTGGATGAATGCAGTGAAAGCCAACTGTTACAGGTCTCTTCTCTACCTCTGTGTCAGAGCAGATCAACTGTGAAATGACAGAGATGAAGTCGTGAGAAGGTAATAACTGCTACTGACCATGTCGAGTGCTAATACCCTCCCTCGAATCAAGTGACTAGGGGCATTCTATTCTCGATCGAGCACTAATAGAGCCCGAATCTATTGAGGGTAGGCATCATTAGAATAATATTAGGGGTGAAAACCTACCCAGTTATCATGTTCCCGTGACTTCGTCTCCAAATCTATTGAAGGTAGGCATCATTAGAATCATATCGCAGGTGGAAATCTACCCTCAATGTATATTTAATATTTATACTGTAATGAATCTAACGATGCCTTGTGGCTCTAAATCCGGGAAAGAGGGCAGTCTATCCCTTGACAGACATCTGTTACTGCCAGTCTGTGGCGTCATTTATTTATTCATTTATGGCGAAAGAACTGTTGTTTAGAGCTCCACTGGTTTGATTGCACAATGCTGTATTTTCTTGCGTGGAGCAGCGCAATTGAGTTCCATCTCTGGGCGAGATTTCAGACCGGCGGACGGGAAGACCCTTTTTCTGTTTTTTTTTGTGAAACATGCAACAAATGCTTGGAAAGTGCGGATAAGTTGAACTGGAACGTCAAGGGTTAACGCAATGACCGTGTGAAATGGCTTTTGTATTCGCTGCTGTCAGGTCGTGGATTGCGCGTCGAATGCAAGCGCACATCGTGAGCCCTGCTCTGGACCTTCTGGGTCTTTATGTGGAAGGCAAGAAAACACAAGCAGTTCACAGAAAGCAGACGGTATGGAGAATGTGACTGATCAGCTGGACACATGTGGGGCTGCAGCTGTGGATGGAGCGCACGTAGTGGAAGCAAAACAAGTGGACACAGTTCCATCTGTCGATTGCTCTAGCAATCGTGTTACTGATGCTCATTCACGCGTGGAACATGGCGTCGTAGCCAAACAGCACGAACCGGAGAAGAAGCACAGATTGGAACGACCCTTCGGTTCATCGAAACGGAAGGCGGAGGGTTTGGTTGAGACTCTCCTGCGGGAAGACCAGGAGAGGCGAACTCATGTGCGTTCGTTGAAGCTTCTGCGGAGGAAACGAGGCTACTTGTTTAAGCGGTGGAGCGTTCCAGCTGGGCAGTCACTCTTGGAAAGAGCTCAGGCTTGGTCTGCGGCACACCGGTTCCTGCTTCTGCATCGAATGCGAAACAGGAGCATTTCAGTCCTGTGAAGGGATATTGTAGCGAACAAGGAGAATCGTGTTTTTGCAGTGACAGTGCAGCAACATGCTGCTGCGATCGAGGACCGGAGGCGGCAGCAGTAGTTTGTTCAGGCGATAACCACCTCACCCAGGCCTCATGTGACCCACAACATGAACCCACAATGCGAAGGAGAATCGTGTTTTTGCAGTGACAGTGCAGCAACATGCTGCTGCGATAGAGGGCTGGAGGCGGCAGTAGTTTGTCCAGGCGAGAACCACCTCACCCAGGCCTCATGTGACCCACAATATGAACCCACAATGCGAAGCCAGAGCACGTATAGGTGGAGGACAGAGTCTCGTAGAAGGTCGCACGCCTTGCAGCTGGGCATCAGATTGCATCTGGGCTTGGATTTCTGCAACAATGCTTCAGCTTGCCTAGAGTCTGCATGAAGCACAGAATGGCTCTCCAAAGTAGCGTAACGTTGTACAGAGTGAAGTGGCAAGCACCTGTGAAGATATGGGATGGGAATGAAACCACAGCAATCGGCATGAATACAAGAAGCCGGAGTCTCATTAAATAATTTTGTATAGTGCATAGCAGAGTAAGCGGGCATTGGAAACATACAGAGTTGGTTCTGAATGGTCAAATTTGGGTTGCTCTGAATGAATACTATTGGAGACAAGTTGGTACACGTATTAACTGTTGAAATGCAGACCTGAGTTCGAAACTCGCTGGACGCAGATAAGTAACATGCCTCCGAATTTACCAGGGCGCCAGCATTTCAAAGAGTATCTAAACGTCGTTGCCCTTTTATGAAAAAAAAGAGACATGGAGATGATTGGCATCCAGTCTGTCCTTGCAGTTGCAAGCTGTAGCAGGCAGTTGCAGCATCACGTTGAAGTGTGCACAGTTGGAAAGGCTGCCAATGACTAATTGCCAGTTGCAGCATCACGTTGAAGTGTGCACAGTTGGAAAGGCTGCCAATGACTAATTGCCGGGCCGTCAACCATGAAGAACGCTACACTTAGTGCAATGGTGCTATGGAACAAGAAGCGAGAAGAGGTAGGAAAAAAAAAAAAAGAACGGGAACACAGAAAGAGGAGAAAACAGCTGTTTCCTCTTTCTTGTGTCCTGGGCTCAGTTTGCCTGCCTCTTGTCGCTCCTCGTTTCATCATGCCAGTTCGCTTGTGCCCATCAGAATGGAGGAGCTGGGGTTTTAAGAGAAAGCAACTTGTGTTTTGTAACTTCTAAGCGGTCAGCTTCTGCTCATACTGAGCATCGTCACTGAGTGTGCAGATACGATAGTGAGAAGAACTTGGAGGGGAGGCGACAGTAGAACCTGGCATGCGCATTCCGGAAGCGAACGTGTGCAGTTCTTCAGCTTTAGCGCAAAGGCAACGAAGTTCGTATTGCTGTGGCGGAGGGTGAAATTGTGCATGTCGCATGCAGCAGTCGAGAATGTGAGAGGGAACGCCTTTCCGCTTTCCATGCAAACGATGCGCATTCAGTACAGTCGAGAATGTGAGAGGCACGACGAAGAAAGGAAATGTCTGTCGACTTATGTTTTCCAAGCGGTCGTCTTCTGCCCAGAGCATCGGTACCCAGTGCGCAGATACAATAGTGAGAAGAATCTGACGGAGGGGAGGCGGCAATGAAACCTGACATGCGCATTCCGGAAGCAAACGTGTGCACTTCTTCGGCTTCAGCGTAAAGGCGACAAAGTATCTACGGCTGTGGCGAAGGGTGAAATTGTGCATGCCACATGCAGCCGTCAAAAGTGTGAGAGGGGATGCCTCTTCGGAGTCTTCGCTTTCCGTGCAATGATGCTGTGTTGCACAGTTAGGTACGGCGAAGAAAGGAGAATTGTTCCTACTGGTGTGGCAAGGGGAAATTGGGCATGTCACATGCAGCAGTGAAGAATGCGAAAGGGGATGTTTCCACCTGGACGATGCTGTGTTACACATTTGGGTACAACCGCGAAAGGAAACACTCATGTCATGATGCAGCAGCAGGAATGTTGGCTTGACAGGTAAGTAGAGTGTCAGTTTGGTGATCTTACTTTGCACTTGTAGCCGGTGATAATCGTCGCCATTTGCTGTGCCTGGGGCGCTCAACAAACGTGGGCAACCTTATACTCATTATATAATTCTAAACGGACACAAGCCGACAAGTGTGTGGGAGGGGGTGGGGGGGTGGGGGGGGGGGGGGCGAATGACTACCCAAATTTGGCCAACCTTACACTCATTATAAAATTCTAAATGGACGTGGACGGATTCGCAATCCGAGTGGGGAATGATGTTTGGTGATTGTTTCCACAACACACCCACTCTTGTGTGCACTGTCAGTACGCATCTGCCATCTGATGACCCTATGTTCTCACTCTGTGGGGAATCTTGTTGCTCGTAATTTGAGCAGAATGAGCAGAGTTTAGAAAGGCAAAGTGTGCACAGAGATTCTTCTTAAGTTCCTACCAACATCATCCACTGACTACGAAGGTTTTTAATCTTGTATTTTTTCATTTGTGTTATGTTTTTTGTCACGAGGTGGTCTCTTGTCGAGGCTTGTATTATCTTTTTCTTTTGCTGATGAACATTTGTGCAGTTAGTGTTTTCTTTCCTCGCAGGGTTTTAGGTGCAGTATGTCTGTAACAGGAAAAAGAATAGTACGACATATGAGCTGGGCATGTAGCTCTGTGACAGTCTTTCGGGTGCAGCTTGCCTGGCTATGTTAGTTATTTAAGCAACCAGAGGAGGAGGAGGGGCTGTAGCGTTGGACGTCATGACAGAGGAAGTGGTGACTGTTGTCGGCCATCATATGCTTGCGCCCAACTGCTTTTGTCTGGCAGTAGAACGAGTAGATGAGACGTGGAGCACAGATGAGCCTTCTTCTTGTCCTGCTGTCCCTTCAGTTTCTGATAGCTCTTCTCCAAGTAGTCTTTGTCTAAACCTCCTTTGCATTCCAGTGCATGATGACTTGGTTGTTCTCAATCACAGGGCTGTCACATCTAGCGTAAGGGCGATGGGCAAGGATGCAGAATGCATAAGCAAACTCCTGCCATCAGGTCATCCACCCAGCAATGTGTGTGTGTGTGTGTGTGTGTGTGTGTGCGTGTGTGTGTGCATGTGTGTGTGCATGTGTGTGTGTGTGTGTGTGTGTGTGTGTGTGTGTGTGTGTGAGAGAGAGAGAGAGAGAGAGAGAGAGAGAGAGAGNGAGAGAGAGAGAGAGAGAGAGAGAGAGAGAGAGAGAGAGAGAGGTCAAAGTTTCAGTTAAGTAAAGGTGGTTTGAATAAGGAGGGACTGTCGTTTCGCTTTCAACATCAGGCCGCATGAGGTGCCTCTCGATAAATTTTTGGGCCATGACACCTGTTTTTTTCACTGCCAATGGCATCTCTTTCTTAGGGGGGGGGTTCTTGGGGTCTAGGCTTTAAATTACTGGGCAGAAAAGCAGGTTGGGAGTGAGAGCGAGAGGAGAAGCAGGTTGGAAGTGAGAGCAAGAGGAGAAGGGATGGCAGTATGCTTTCTAGACGTACGTGATAGCGAAGGAGAGAACTCTATCCCATGTCATCGAGAATCTGTTGATGTCGAATGGTTCTTTCAGCTTGTGAGTTGGATCGGTGACCAACAGCCCTGTTTTTTTTTGTTCTTTTTTTTTGTTTTTTTTTTGGTCGACGGATAGCCTAATTATGTGTAATAATTCTTTCTCTCTGCCATGCCAATTGAATCTGTCTAGTCCTCTGGCACATCTGGGCAGATAAAGCCACCTTCTTCCTCCAACACAATGGCCTGTCATTACATATGCATCTGGAACGGAAATTTGCGCACTAAAATTAACTCAATACTAGAGTCGATAGTAATGAATACAGCTATATCTTTGTGTGTGTGTGTGTGTGTGTGTGTGTGTGTGTGTGTGTGTGTGTGTGTGTGTGTGTGTGTGAAGGGATTGTTGCTGGTCGCAGGACTAAGTGCAGCCTGCCAGCTCTCCTGGTTGCAAGTGCAATGAACCAGGACTGAACACAGCCTGCCAAGGGAAGAAGGGCAGTGCACACCAACCCCTGGTTGCTGGTGTATCAGGGGGAGAAGGGTAGTGCACATGATCTCCTCATCGACCATTCATTGCAGTCCATTTGGGCATCATCTGGCGGGAAGGCATGTTTCTTGTCTTTTGCCTGTTTTTTTTTCCTAATCAGGAATGTTTCTTGTCTCCTAAGAGCTCTCATGGAGTATTCTCGATCAATTTCAATTTAATAATTTATCCTATAGTTAGTTCATTATTGTTTTGCGTATTGAATTCGTTGAGTTGTTTGCACCTAGAGTTTCAGCTAGCTCCTAATCCCTTCGGGTGTGCTTTCTAATCCCTTCTCAAGTATCCCGAATGTCATTCAGCTAGCTCCTCGAGTTTCAACAAGAATTCTGAAATTCTTTGGGCTTTCCGTTGCTCATTAATAGGCCATCATTATGCTGTCCTTACTTTAATTTGATGCCATTATTAATTTGTCAACTGCATAATGATAATTTATTCTGGGATTTGTGGGCGCCGGACGGCATCTGTTAAATCACCAGTATTTGGCCCAGCTATCGGCCGTGGAAAAGAGTAGAGTAGAAACGTTTCTAGCCGGATGAATTTGTGCGCTCCTGTAGTGGCCCGTACGTTTCCTAAAATCGCGTAGCGTTAACGGGCACGACTTTAGGAAGTACTGGTGGTTTAAATGCCATGCACAATGTCGGATTGAACATCAGTCACATTTTGTAATTTTTAATTAGTAATTACAGAATTGCAGAACCAAAAAATTCAAGAAATGAGAACTGATGCGAACCAGCAGGGAAAATATGTTATCCTGCTGTGATTGGATCCTGACTCGTCCAACCACAGAAAACATCATGTTTGAAAAGCCTTTACCATCATCTCTCTCTCTCTCTCTCTCTCTCTCTCTCTCTCTCTCTCTCTCTCTCTCTCTCTCTCTCTCTCTCTCTCTCTCTCTCTCTCTCTCTCTCTCTCTCTCTCTCTCTCTCTCTCTCTCTCTCTCTCTCTCTCTCTCATCGTGTTGGGCGCTGACTGGCGTTGAGTCAGCTAGGCCCTTGCAATCAGGTGAAAGTTGACCGGTGGCATCTCCGCAATCAAGATTATGATAAAGTGAATTCGTTTCGGCGACTGCCCCTATGACTTCAGTTTATAAGTCTATCAGAATTGGTTTGTCAGGTCTGTCAGCCTGTCGTCCGTCTACAGGTCAGTTCATGTTTGTCAGTCTGCTCAGCGTCAGAAGGTTGTCGGTTATTGGACCGTTCCTCCTGTGCCCTGCCTATAGTTGACTGTGGTTTCTTAGCCTGCTCACAGGCTCCGTGTTCGGTCTCCCTTCTGTCTGTCCTGCCCTGTTTGTCCTGTCAGATCTCGGTGTCAGTCCAGTTTGCACCGTCAGTCCAAAGGGACTGTTGGTCACATCATAACGGTCGTGCAGTGGTTCTGTTGCGTCAGTCTGTCGAAGCCAGACACTGTCAATTCGTTGTTGTCCAAGGCCCGTGCCTCAGCCTGCAACTGTGTTTGTTTTCTCCAAATTGGCAGGTCATTCTCCGTGCAGTGTATTTTTTTTTCCTGCAAGAACTCTGGGGAAGATCCAAGAAGGAACTAATCAAAGATTAGTTTATTTTTGATTGGTTTGCCGCGTGTGCAATAACCCGTTCCTTATGCCTCATAAGCTGTCCAAGGACCCAGACCGACGATGGCCTAGGCCGCAGCACGTAGAGGCAGGACCCCAAACGTTTGGATTCAGGGGCGCTGCACCAGACAGTTGACAGAAATTCAACTGTACATCGCCCTCCGTCAAAGCCACCGTGGACCCAGCCCAGGCCGCCGGTCAGACACACGCACTTGTTTGTATGCAGGTACCAAGACAGCATTCAGGCCAAGTGAAGGTCTGCAACTGTATGGGATCCAGGCCGTCGGCCATGAGTCAATGTGAGTCACCGTGGGTGGGAGACCTGAGGCAGGTCTACCCGGTCAAATGCTACATAAGACCCTGCCTCCAGGGAGTCAACATTCAGTCTTGCTATGCTGACTTGACGCTGGCTTGACGCTGGCTGGACGCTGGCTTGACACTGGCTGCTCACTGGCACTGTGGACGACGACGGGAGACTGCTGCTTGCTTGCTGGCGCCGGCCTCTGCTGACTTGGTGCAAAACCACGCTGTCTTCGACGTTGCAGATGTGGCGCATTCCACTCTGTGTTCATTTCTGACGGGCCATTTGCCACACTGTCTACATTGCTGAGTTCGAGGCGACAAGGAGGGAGATCGGGATCTGTGGATGATTGAGATTGAACTTACCTGCTGTTGATGTCGATACTGTGCGCTACTGAATGTTTTCACGAGAGACCTGTGCCACGTGGCACTCTTGATGTGATCAGGCCCTGTCAGGCAATTATTGGACACTGTTGGTTGACGTGGAGGCGAGGGGGAAGCCTGGAGATGGAGAGGGAAATGTTGGGCTGCTATCTCTGTGGTCATTGATGGATATCTCTTCCACCCCCTAATCTGTTTATTCCCCTTCTCCTCTCTTCGTCTATTGGTTACCAGACATTGTATCACAGATCACATTCACAATTATTTGGAGACATTATTCAGAACTGAGATTTCTTGTATTTGGACATCTGACGAGTATCTTCCAGACTGGGTTCATTACAATTTGGTATCAGAGCTTACCTTCTTTGTTGCGATCTGCTATCAGGCGCCAGGTGGCACCCAGGTAAGTGGGAGGTTCCGCGCGTTGGAAGGAGTCGCGTCTATAGACGTGCGCGATTATTCTCGCGATCTAGACATTGACAGCCGCACGCGTACATACTCCCTTGACGATGATGATGTGCACCACTTGAAGAGAAGACGGCAACATTGCTTATGTGGTGCTTTGTTACTGATGTGGCGACCAGATACCGACGAGAGCATCATTGGTTGTGGGTTGACATGGCGATGGTAAACGAGAGAGAGAGTGGGTATTGGGACTGTTGACGTGGCGTGTTGCCTACGTGGCATGGTGCAGGGGTGCTGATGTGGCATCCTAGGATTGGCAGGGTATTGTCTGATGTGGCACATATTTGTGTCGCGACTTACCTGCTGACGTGGCGTGCCACACTCCAACGGTACTACTTCGATCTGGCGTGGCATACCCGTGGTGGATGAGTTGGCAGTTTGTGCAATGCTGACGTGGCATCCCTCCCGAAGGCCTTACTGGCCATTGACGCTGACGTGGTAGACTCTGTGGAGCTGCTCTGTTGGCATTCCAGGGGTGACACGTTGCAGACTTTGTGCGCTGCCGCTGGTGAGAAGTTGATACTTGCACTTGTGTCCTGGCGGGCGGTACAGCATCACGATTGGTTGTAGTGCCACGCGTCGGCCCTTGTGTCTGGCCGCATTGGTATCTGCAGATGGTACAACCGAATAGGAGAGGATGCTGACATATTGGTTGTGTTGTTGTGTCTTGATCACACTGGCCGTGGTTGCGGTACCTGTGCACTCTCGTTAGGACGTCATCACACATACATAGGACAGACAACAGAAATTAGAACTAGAAGTAAATTGAAATCTGTGCCTTATTTATTTTTGATTCATTCTTTGTTGCTGTAGGAGATTAAATCCGGGTGTGGACGCAAATTTTATTATTGTCTTGTAATTCTTTATTGTGCGGCATACACACATTGTGAAAATGTATTTCCCTTGGAACTGCTTGCATCTCTCCATCCAGACTCGGTTTATTCATCTCTTTCTCTTCCCTGTCTCTCTCACCTTCTTTGCTGAGGACCTGCAGTCAGAACATGTGGCCGAATTGCAAATAGACGACAACAAATGTTGAATCATCTACATCAGTTTATCACGGAGTTTCGTAACTCAGGGGAAGATGCTGAGAAGCACGTGAGCAGCCAATTCGATCTGCAGGTTGCAGAACACGAACTTGAGCGGGCTGATACTGCTCCCCAGACGATGGAAACCTGTGTTTGTGTCCAGCAAATGATTAATCAAGGTCAAGGGGTTCTCGATAAATTCGTATATGATCAACTGATGTCGATAGCCAACAAGAAAGAAGAGAAACAAGGAGAGACAAGCGAACGGAAAGTAGAACCTGAATTGTATGAAGAGATTATGATGGCAAACATCAAGCAATTGGAAGAAACCTTGAATGGAGAGAAAAGAAAAAAGAATACTGGAGAATGAAGATAGAGAAAGAACAGCAAGATTTGCTCCCTTTGGAGTGTGAGATTGCAGAATTGCCTATAGTTGTACTTACCTGACTTTGCATCAGCTACGAGTTGTCCACGAATTGGCTTGGGCAATCCATGTGAGTAGATGTACAAGATCTGGTTGTCCTGCAAATAAAGC